GATATTACTTGGAATATTTAAAAATTACCAAAATTTCATACTTTTTGGCAAACGAAAGAGACAATATTCGATATTCTTGTTTGTTGAAACTCAGACTTTTTTACTATTCTTGTGCAAGAGATATCTGAATCATCTGTTTTATCGTTTTATCATCCAAGTGCATGGATGTTTAATTAATACAGAAAGAAAAGTCGATATTGGATACTCAGGATGAAAATAAAATTAGATTGAATTTCTAATGAAAATAGAATTAAATTATTGTTTCATCAATAACTTGATTTCCCAGGAAGGAAATGTTGAATTGATATCGAAAGGAAAGTCAATACTGAATATTCGTGATAAAAAGTGAAACTAGATTGAATTTCTCAGAGAAAGAAACGCCAAATACTCGCAATAAAATTATTTCCAATTCTAAAATTAGGATTCTTAATAAAAACAAAATTAACTTCTTCAATAAACTTCAAGCAATAAAACTTGATTTAACTCGATAAAATTGCACACTAGAGTAAGAATGATGTTTTATGTTTGTAAGAAGAAACTGATATTCGTACGTGATTGATTACCGGAAGTTGTGTACGGTATTTTCCAGTAACGACGACAGGATTTAAATGTACGAACTCGCGGATTCTTTGGTAATATTTCCCTCACGTAACGCTTCAATCATTGATATCGTCAGATTTATGAATGAGAGTAGCATAAAAGCTGGAGGTTTTACTGCCGCCCTGGTTCGTGCGAAAACCGTCAATGCATTAGCAAATACATCCATTCTTCATCGTCTAATAAAGTATGAAGTAAAAAAACGAGAAGAAAGAAAGAAAGAAAAAAAATTTGGACCGTGATCCGTCTATACCGTTGGAATACTTAAGTACTTTTTATGCGGATTTAACACACGGACGTGAATTTCTCTCACTTCTACATGTACCAGCCATGCGCGAAAGATTTTTATGAAAACTTCCCTTTGTTTCGATAATCCTCTTTCCTTTCTTTCCTGCTTCTTACGCGGATTTTCACGTTTTCCCTCTTTAAGATTCGCCCTAAAATTAACGACAGTACGACGTGTTATAATAAACGACGTTCGTTCTGGTTGCGATACTTCCTCAATTTCAGAATTTACGGCGCATTCACGGTATAAGTATAAATCCTGCATTAAAGGAATGGAGATGAAAAGTGAGAAAACACGTAATGCTACGAAGGATTTTTATGCTTCTTAATAATGTTTTACGTCTACGTAAAAATTATTCCCTGAACGAAGTTTATTATCACAGCGCGATTAAATTGCATTACATTTTGACGAGTATCGAACTGAATTTTATCACTCATCATTTTCACCATTTTATTATTCGTATTATTTATATTTTAGCGAATTTATGACGCAGAAAGTATATAAGTTCTAAAGGAATCGAAATGGAAAGTGAAATTTTTATGGTTTTAATCGTAAAGTAAATGTTATACTTACGTAAAAAAGTTATACAATCTTACAAAGTATAAAAATCTAATTTAATTACTATTATAATAATTCCAAAATTACATCTTAGTCCGAAATTACATTTCAATAAATATCGAACTGAATTTTATCACTCATCATTTTCACCATTTTATGCTTTGTATTATTCGTATTATTTATATTTTAGTGTTGTTGAATTCATGACGCAGAAAGTATATAAGTTCTAAAGGAATCGAAATGGAAAGTGAAATTTTTATGGTTTTAATCGTAAAGTAAATGTTATACTTACGTAAAAAAGTTATACAATCTTACAAAGTATAAAAATCTAATTTAATTACTATTATAATAATTCCAAAATTACATCTCAGTCCGAAATTACATTTACAATAAGTATCGAACTGAATTTTATCACTCATCATTTTCACCATTTTACGTTTCGTTATTTACATTTTATTATCCACACTATTCTACGCTATTTTTAGCCCGTATTTTCTATTAACATTTTACAGAACGTACAAAATAACAGATATATTTTTCCAAAGATCTCTTTCCAAAATATATCGACGCGCTCTCGATATATCGTCTCTCGTCTCGGGATCGTTTTCTATTTTGAAACAGCAATCTCCAAGCTGGTTATAACTTACACGAGTTTGCACTTAAGTCTCCTTTTTCAATCGAGCCACGATCGATGATCAGACCTGGTCTCGGAGATTAGGAGTTTATTTCGGGCCCAAGTTTCTATCAAGTCAGAATCTAGTTACATAATTCTTTTTTTCGAAATTTCCCAAATCAGCTTTCCATATCCTGTTTATGCTCCCAGTGAATAAATATTTCATTTACAACATTATATTGTCTCTTTATGGTGTCGAAATTTTAATTCATAAATATTTTGAACACCCTTCAAATAAAATATTTTACTGCCGAGATTTTTTATTAGTGTTTGAAGATCAACTTCGAAATAAATTTCTCAGGGACAGTGAGAAAAGCAGAATTCAGAAAGGAACAAATAAGTATCTTTTTCGTACTACTAAGATTTCAATTAACCGTGGATATTTTTCAATACGCTTCTGCTGAATAATTTATTCGTCTAAAAAGCAAATTTCTCAGCGAAAAGTGATAAAACTCGAGGGAAAAAATAAATCTTTCGTACTATAAAGATTTTAATTAACTGTAGATATTTTTTAATACACTTCTTCTAAATAAATTGTTCCTGCAGAAAGTAAATTTTTCAGCGAAATTTTCAATAAAAGTAGTAAGATTCGAAAAAAGAAGTAAATACCTTTTTCGTGCTATTAAAATTATAATTATAACACCTGAAATCTAACCTAACCTAACCTAACCTAGCCCAAACCCAAACCTAACCTAAAATTTCTGACTTTATTCGGGGTCTTGTCACTCTGTAAATTGATGTAATTGCTAACGATTCAATGCGAGTTGATGCGATTATAAAAAAATAAATGAATGAAACGTGATAGAGAATAATGATAAAATACACGATCCATTCGGCCGTCGAATAATTCACTGATAACATAAGAGAGTTAAGTTTAACACGGGCGATGCGCCGATTCGATGGCGCTGGATGGCGAGTATCGGCGCACGGTCGTGGCAAAGTTATAAATTTTTATGAGGGGAAAACTCTCGGATCGTTCTCGCGTTAAAACGATACCGAGCAGAAAATTAACGAGCGGACTTGGAATAAACCAAGTGCCACTTGGTTACAGTCGCTTTCGTTTCATGAAGCCAACCGACGAGAAAAGAGAGAGAGAGAGAGAGAGAGAGAGAGAGA